ATCAGCGCCGTCCACTCGCGGCCGAAGCCCCGTAAGTGCTTTGATCCCTCTGATTCCTCCGATCCGGGAGATGAGGGAGGGGAGGGAGTGCTTTAACCTCCCCCTTCGGAGCTCTTCAACCTCTCTATTCCCCGCAATTTCGGATGGAGCGCTTTAACCTCCCCCTGCCCGCCGTTTGGGATGGAGGGCTTTAACCTCCCCCTTCGGAGCGCTTTAACCTCCCCCTTCGGAGCGCTTTAATCTCCCCATTCCCCCGCAATTTGGGACAGAGCTCTTTAACCTCCCCATTCCCCGCAGTTTGGGACGGAGCGCTTTAATTTCCCTTTCCCCGCAGTTTGGGACGGAGTGCTTTAATCTCCCCATTCCCTCTCAGTTTCGGACGGAGCTCTTTAACCTCCCCCTTCCCTCTCAGTTTCGAACGGAGCTCTTTAACCTCCCTCTTCCCCGCAGTTTGGGACGGAGCTCTTTAATTTCCCCTTCCCCTCTGTTTCGGACGGAGAGCTTTAACCTCCCCCTTCCCCGCAGTTTGGGACGGAACGCTTTAACTTCCCCTTCCCCCGCACTTTGGGACGGAGCACTTTAACCTCCCCATTCCCCGCAGTTTGGGACGGAGAGCTTTAACCTCCCCCTTCGGAGGGCTTTAACCTCCCCCTGCCCCGCAGTTTCGGACGGAGCTCTTTAACTTCTTCTTCCCCGCAGTTTGGGAAGGAGCGCTTTAATCTCCCCCTTCGGAGCGCTTTAATCTCCCCATTCCCCCGCAGTTTCGAACGGAGCGCTTTAATCTCCCCCTTCCCCGCAATTTGGGACAGAGCTCTTTAACCTCCCCTATCCCCGCAGTTTGGGACGGAGCTCTTTAACCTCCCCCTTCGGAGCGCTTTAACCTCCCCTTTCCCCGCAGTTTCGGGCAGAGCACTTTAACCTCCCCTTCCCTCTCAGTTTGGGACGGAGCGCTTTAACCTCGCCCGTCCCCGCAGTTTGGGACGGAACGCTTTAACTTCCCCTTTTCCCGCAGTTTGGGACCGAGCGCTTTAATCTCCCGCAGTTAACTCCCCGCAGTTTCGAACAGAACGCTTTAATCTCCCCCTTCCCCCGCAGTTTGGGACGGAACGCTTTAGCCTCCACATTCGGAGCGCTTTAACCTCCCCTTTCCCCGCAGTTTGGGACGGAGGGCTTTAACCTTCCCTTCCCCGCAGCTTCGAACAGAGCTCTTTAACCTCCCTCTTCCCCGCAGTTTCGGACGGAGCTCTTTAACCTTCCCCTGCCCCGCAGTTTCGGACGGAGCGCTTTAACCTCCCCCTTTCGGCAGTTTGAGACGGTGATCTTTAATTCCCCCTTCCCCGCAGTTTGGGACGGAGGGCTTTAACCTCCCCTTCCCCCGCAGTTTGGGACGGAGCCCTTTAACCTCCCCCTTCCCCTCAGTTTCGGACGGAGCGCTTTGGGCTCTCCCTTCCCTCTCAGTTTCGGACGGAGCGCTTTAACCTCCCCCTTCCCCGCAGTTTGGGACGGAGCGCTTTGGGCTCTCCCTTCCCCTCAGTTTCGGACGGAGCGCTTTGGGCTCTCCCTTCCCTCTCAATTTCGGATGGAGCGCTTTAACCTCCCCCTTCCCCGCAGTTTGGGATGGAGCGCTTTAACCTCCCTCTGCCCCGCAGTTTCGGACGGAGCTCTTTAATTTCCCCTTCCCCGCAATTTCGGATGGAGCGCTTTAACCTCCCCTTCCCTCTCAGTTTCGGAAGGAGCTCTTTAACCTCCCCTTCCCCGCAGTTTTGGATGGAGCTCTTTAACCTCCCCTTTCCCCGCAGTTTGAGACGAAGCTCTTTAACCTCCCCGTTCCCCGCAGTTTCCGCCAGCACCCTGCGCAATTCCCGGCTGTTCGCCCGCGGCCCGGGGGACACGGAGCCGAGCGGAGGCGGCACCAGGAGCCCGGCGAGAGCCCCGGACACGCCGGGAACTCCGGACCGCGGCACCCGGGCCAAGCTGAGCCCCGGAGCCCCCCGGGAGTGTTTGTAGGAGAACGGGACGGACACGGATCCGAGGCACCTGGGCAGCTCTTCCTCCTCAAGTCCTGAGCTCCAATCCACACCCGAGGGATGGAGGATCAGGATCCTCCCCAGGCTGTCCCTTGTCTCTCCACCGTCCCAGTTCACAGCCCCGTTCCCGGTTACTGCAGGACTATTTGGGGAGTCTCCCATTCCCCTCTCCAGGGTTCCCTCCCCACGGGATTGTGCCTGGCAGGAGGGAAATGTCCCCAGCCCAGTTTTAGCTTCGGTCCCTTTGCTGGTGTGGCCAAACCCTTTCCCTGATCCCAGGGTGATCCTTCCAAGGAAAGAATCACTCAGATTTCCACACTGTGGGAGAGGAAGGAAAACAACCGCAGGGATGGATTTGTCACCTGGATTGACAGATCTGGTGACACCCTGGGGGTCCCTCGGCCACCTCAGGGTATTTCCCTGCCTTTGTGGGGGGACCCCCATTCCTTCAGCAAAGCTAAAACGCCTCAAAACTGATTTCCATAATCCCTTCCTCTTTCCAGACTCCACACAGCAGTTCCAGCTCCTAAAATTGGGATGTCAGTTCTTATTTAACTGCACTGGGAACAGCCTGGTTTGGGGTGGGAGGGACCTCAAAACTCATCCCATTCCACCCCCATGGGCAGGGACACCTCCCACTGTCCCAGGGTTCTCCAAACCCCAATGTCCAGCCTGGCCTTGGGCACTTTCAGGGATCCAGGGGCGCACCCACAGCTTCTCTGGGAAATCCATTCCAGGCCCTCCCCATCCTCACAGGGAGGAATTTCCTTCCTAAAATCCAATCCAAATCCTCCCTCTTTCAGCCTAAAGCTGGAGAACTCCCTCGCCTTTGTATTTATTGACCTCAGCTTGTACCTGACCCGGCTGCCCCGATGGGCTGATCCCAATCCCAATCCTGATCTCAACCTTGATCCCAACCCCAATCCCAGTTCTCCAGAGCTCCCGAAGCCAGCCCTGGAAGTGCCCCTTGGCCACACTCGGGGATGCTGTGGCCTCTTCCCATCCCAGTATTTTCCCTCCTGGCTCCAGCCCCCCCTAATTCCCGGATTCCCGGTCCCCATTCCCACATTCCCGTAGGACTCAGCTCTGGCTCTCGGGGTTTGGCTGTCACAATAAAGCTCTGTCACCCAAATCTATCGTGTCCTTGGTTTTGTCCCAGCATGGCCCTGGAGCAGCAGGACTCGCTGGGGGCTCTGGCTCAGCCCTGGAATTGCACCCCAGGGATCGGCCTGGGAACAGCCCCAGGATGGAGGGGCACCCAGAGCGGGACCCCAGGCCTTGGGGATCAGATTTTGGGGATGAGGGAGCCACACTCAGCACTGCTCAGTTTCACCGTCCCAAACTCCTCCTGCACACCTGGACACCCCATTTCCCTGCAGCCCTGCATTCCAGAGGTGCCCTTTGGGATCATTGGGTTTTTTTGGTGCTCACTGATCCCCACAGGGTCCTCCCTGGGAGATTTAAACTGGACCAGGTTCCCTGAGGTGCTGCAGGACCCAAATTTGGGATGAGCTCACCTGGAAGACACTGTGCCACTCCCCTTCCCAAACTCCTCCTGCCCTCCCCAAAGTGGGATTCCTGCACACCTGGGCACCCCATTTCCCTGCAGCCCCTCATTCAAGAGGTGTCCTTTGGGATCACAATGCTCCCTCTTCCCCTGGGGCATTCCCTGGCAGATCCAAAGCAGCCCAGGACTCCCAAGGTGCCCGAGGACCCAAATTTGGGAGTATCTCTCAGGGTCCAGGGCAGGGGAGGGGAGACAGAGGACAGGAAGGACATTCCAGACCAGGGGAAGGAGTTAAATCCCATTTCCCTGCCTGGCGGGATGGGGAAGGAGGGCTCTGGCAGCTCCAGGGTCAGTGCGGAGCTGCCTCTGGGGCCTCCAGAGCCCTTGGAAAAAGCCCTGCTGAGGTGGAGGAATAAAGTGGGGTCTGTGCTCAGAGCAGCCCTGTTCCCAGCCCCATTCCCAGCCCCATTCCCAGATTTCCCAGCAGCCCAAATCCCAGCTCTCAGAGCAGTCCTGTTCCCAGCCCAAATCCCAGCCCCATTCCCATTCCCAGCCCCATTCCCAGCTCTCTAAGCAGCCCCAATCCCAATCCTCTAAGCAGCCCCAATCCCGGTTCTCCCAGCAGCCCCATTCCCAGCCCCATTCCCTGCTCTTCCAGCAGCCCCATTCCCAGCCCCATTCCCATTCCCAATCCCTGCTCTCCTAGCCACTCCAATCCCATCCTCAATCCCAGCTCTCCCAGCAGCCCTGTTCCCTACTCCAAGTGGCACCATTCCAAGCCCCATTCCTATTCCAATCCCAGCTCTCCAAGTGGGCCCATGCCCAATCCTAGCCCCATTCCCTGCTCTCCGAGTGGCCATCCCAAGTGGCCCTATTCCCAGCCCCGTTCCCATTCCCAGCCCCATTCCCGGCTCTCCCAGCAGCCCCAATCCCGGGACCTCAGGAGGAATAGGGCTCATATTCCGGGATGAAGCTGGAATGGGGCGGGGGAGAGTTGGGATCTGGAGACACCCAAACTGGGGGACCAGGAGGCCAGGAGGGCTCAGTTGAGACTTTCCCGCTGCTTTTCCTCCCTGACTTTGGGATTTTGGGGATGTTTTTGTTGTTTCTGACCTGTCACCATCATGGCATCGGGACAGATCCCTGAGACCACAGCAGGAGATTAAAGGGTTGCTTTGGGATTTGGGATTTTGGCCATGTTCCTGGGCTCAGGTCCCTGTTCTGAGACACAGGAGGGACAAACTGGACCCAGTCCAGCATCCCATTGCTCCCAGCCCCAATTCCCACTGCCCAGCTCCCCAGGGAATGAGCCCATCCAGCAGAATTCCAGCTCTCCCTTAACAGGAGCTGGGATTTGGGACACCCACCCTGCCCTCATCAGGGGCCTGCCTCTTCCTCAGGGCCAATTCCCTCTGCTGTTCTTATCCCCGAGTCCCAACCAACCCCAATTCCAGCCATAAAATCCCCAGGGAATTGCTGCAGCACCATCAGCTC